CCTAAGTCTTCCTACCAATATGACCAAGTTGCGAAAAGAAGGTCAATCTCTATACAACAAAAGAGGACTGCGACCACACAAAAGGCCACCATCTTGGTCTTCATACCTTCGACTAAATACTTTACTTATATCGAATTATAATGGATCCTTGCTACAGCATACATTTGCTTGGGCCATAATGTCGAATATTCTTATCTGTCTGAGACTCTATGGTTTATATATTTTTTATTCCTCTTTAGGTCACCGTTGGCCATATATGTTTCTAACTCAGCTTTCTTATCCTTAAACTTGTCAGTATATTTACACTAGGAAGAACAATTCTATTTTGCCCTCATTTCTTTCCACATGCTTCAGCTTTTGCCACTTAGCTCGATGGCTTCGAACTGTTTATTTCTCTTTAAGATATTCATGGAATCCCAGTAAAGCTTTGCAATTTTTTAAGCCTGTGTTTCAAATAGTATTTTTTTCTAACCTGATCGTGTTTTTTGGCGACCCAGACGAATACACCTTTTTCAGAGCCTGTTTTAATAGTTATGATAACTTCCATCGTCAGAAGCTACCAACGTGGTATTGTACTAGGTCAATATTCTGCTATTGAGTATATTATGCCTACTATTTCAGAGTACTTAGGACAAAATGTTTTCATCTTGCTAGCCCAATAACACGGCTAAGGTACGAAAATGGTAAATCAATTCTATTAAGAGAAAATAAGTTTGATTAAAGGGGGGGAACAGTATCTAGGTCTTCATATCCGGGATAATGAGATATTTTTTAGATTAGGCTACATTCTAGTTTTATTACAATTCGTAGTCATAATAATATGAATTAAATTGATGGATAAAAAATTCAATTATTTATGACTTTTATTCACCCTATTTCGTTTAAGATGATGAAGCGCTTTTACACTTACATTTCTAAGCCTTTCTTAGAAGCCAAACAAAACTAATTTATTTGACCGCAGACAGTTACTTCGTCCATCATACACAGGCTGCTGTTGGCCCTGGATATTTCCGTATAATCAAAGCTTTATCCCTGGAGAAATCTATAATTTGCCGAGGAAGTCACAGGAAATGAGTCGGGGAATTGCAAGTATTCAGAGCCTCATTGAAGCCCAAAATGATTTGGACTTGTATTTCTACGATAATGAGAGGAAAAGCGACTATTTCGATCAGGCTCCAACCATAGAATGTCAGAGCGAGGTGTCTGAATTAAGCCTTGGTCAAATTGTAACTGCCTGGTTTCATATTTTACAATTAACTATTTAGTTAAAATACGGAATTTTGAATATAGACTTATGAATTAAATCATGTTTAGGGACCAACACACATTTTCGATCCAAATGAGAAAATCGTTATTTACACGCTGAATGAATCAGCGCGTTTGAGTGTATGCTTGAATAAGATTTGCTAATTTTGTGAAAAAATTGCTTCGAGGTTAAGTTAAAAGTGGAAGCTACGTCGTATCAGCCCAAGCAAAGTAAATTTACTGCTATGCTAATCCATCACCCTAGATGCTCCTTAGAGCTTCACAAACAAGAATAGATTCTATAATATAGACTCAAAAGCCTACTTATTCTCGACAAGGAGAAATCAGCATTACTTTTCAGACCAGCTTAGCGGAATAATTTTTGTCTTGGGGAGCCGAAATTAATAAATGGACGAAACTCCATCCAAAGCTTATGATGTAAGACTTGTGAAATGGGTCTGAAGATAATATCAAGACAAGTGATTGATAAATATTTTCAAAGTCTGGTCGTCCAGTGATCACTATCCTTAATTTTGTTTACTAACCCAGATGCGAAAGGCTTTAGCCGGTTTAGCTGCGATTAATAGGCTAACTTGGTGCTCAAATCGGTATAAGATCAGCTATATAGACTAAATTTATCCATCACAGTACACAAATCACTATTCTCTTTGACCCAAATATCCAGGTTCGGGACATAGTCATAGTAAATGGTATATTTCAAGGAAGTATCTCAGTTAATTTTAGATTTAAAAGTATAATCTAATCAATAGGCTTCAGTCTGATTTTGGTGAATTTGAGTTTAAAATGCCTATTTTTCGAACTCTGAATTCTTGCTTTCCTTAGCAATGCGGCAGCATTTTTTGATCGCCTTCGTATCTCACCCTCCTGTCTCTACGACGTGCCATTTGGCTCCTCAGTAAACGGACCACAGTCGCAATCCTCTAGCCCGGCACCGACACCTCAACCAGCGATTCTTCCTATCACAACCTCGTCATCCTCATCTACAGGGCTCTCTGTCATCATGCACAACTCCGGCAACCTTTCAATCTCAGGTACTAATCCTCCCCTGCGTTCGCCAGCTCTCGGCTCTAACCTGAACTGTGGTGTTGGTGGTGGTTGTGGTGATCTTTTGCACGAGCTGGCTGCAGGTTGGCCCCCACGCCAAATGCCTAGTCGCTTGGAGACCACATTAGCTGACATAGCTAGTGGTGTGACGGGTTGGAGTGGTTCAGACGTTGTCCCTGTGGCACATTATCATCCCCATCCTCAAAAACAGCAACATCAGCAAATACCTACCTGCCAATCAGCACAGTCTTGTCCAGTTCCTGGATCGGTTACCATTGCAGCTTCGTCCGGTGCCTTAGCAGTGGCCACCTCTGGGTCCAGTGGTCCTGCAGGTGGTATGGGTGTTGCAGGGGGAGGTGTTTATGGCTTTCCTGGGCTTCCTCTCAATGCAACGGTTGCCCCCACACAGGTATCGGGAACTTTGCGTAGTGTTACCCTACCAGCGACGGGACAAGGACAAGTTTTTAACAAGCTGGCAACTACAGATCCGGACGCATATAGCTCGGCTACAACTTCACCGGCTTTGATGTGGCGCGCAAGGATTCTGCTTGACCTCGGTAGGATTTTGTCACTATTCCCATGTGACTCATTTCCTCTATTCACGGGGAAACTGTGGAAATAATAGCATATTTTTTGCTTAAATCGGCTTTACATAGTCCTCCTTAGTCAAGTATGCGAACGCTGCCCTTATAAGGTTTTCCTTTAGTGGATTTTGCTCTTTATAGATCATATTTTTATTGCCCTCTGGAAATTTTGTCATTTTGCATTGTTTTCGTTTTTAGCCGAACTTTATCTTGACTTGGACATGGTTCAGGAGACCTATGAATGCATCGGAGAGGCAACTACATTTACTAAGCTGAATCACCAAGCTTTGTATTTGGTGAGTCATTTAGGCTTAATCTTGCCTTTGCCGAAATTTTTTCAGGATCTTCACAGTATTAAGGTTATGTAAAATGTTGACTAGCCTATTTTTTCTAAGAGAGTATATTTAAGTAATATGCATATTTATAACGGTTTATTAACACATTTTTATGAAAGTGTTATTCGATAAAACTCGGCTTGTGTGTGACCTTTCATGATCCCGGACGACATTTAATTTTGGAGATAAAAGCCTGAATGGCCAAGATTTTGACAATATAGATTTGACTGTCAAACCGATTGCGCGAATAGCTTTATCTTGAATGTGGCATTTTCATCTTATGTGGTTTAAACTTTGTCAGACAAGGATGCTAAAAGCGTCAAAATGCTGAGCATAAATGCATAGCTTCGGTAAAATGACATAGCCAACGACACAGATCTAGGGTTTCAGCAGATTATCATCGTTTATTTTTATCATTGACTAAAAAAGGCGTTATTTATATTTTAAGGTATACCTCGAAAAATTCTCATCAGCAGGTTTTTGCTTTCTAAATAGCCGAAGCATTGAAAAGGGATGAAGTCTGGGGATTAATAATTAGGGTTTATTGGCGAATAAACTGCACGCCTGATTGAAACTCAATATACACATTGAGGTAATGAAAATCACAAATAAGTTTATTCAGGATGCCTAGAGAGACTGATTGTCGAGGTTCACAG